CGAGCATCCAGGCTGGCCGCAGCTCCTCCGCATCAGGAGCATGCCGGCACTGCGGATCGCGCTCTTCGGGAAGCACGCCGAGCACGGCCTGCAGGCACAGCCAGTGCTCCGAAGCCACCGGCAGCTCCAGCAGCAGGATCGCGAGTGGGATCCGGCCAGGCCGCTGGCCAGGAGCCTGGAAAACCGGGAGCAGCAGCTCCCCCCGCTTCGCCACCCGCCGCTGCCTTTTTTCCCCCCGTTTCCTCTGCTTTTTTCCCAAGTTTGGCTCTGCAAACCGTGAACAATTGACGGGGACAGYGCAGGGCCTGATGCGTGCCGGAGCCAGCCACGCCAGCTCGCCCCTGGCGCGAGGAGGAGGAAGGAGGTTGGAGGAAGGCTCCGGACAGCCCCGCGAGGCCACGGAGCAAGAGCGGGCGCCGTATCCGGAGCGCATCCAGAGCGCAGCGGTGCGAGGCGCGCGCGCAACGGCTCCGCAGGGGGAAGGGAGCCGGGCAGAGCTGCAAGCTCAGCGCTCCGGCGCGGCGTTGCGCCCGCAGGCCRAGGAACAGCTCCAGGAACATGCTGACTTCACGCGTCTCCTCCCGGGAAGCGCTTCCAGCCCCGATTAAATATTGATCAGGGAACTCTGTGCCCCRACTCGCGGCGCCCGTCTCCTCCGGCGCGCCTCTCCTCTGCCAATATTTAGACTGCATTAAGGCCAGATGCCGGAGCACTTAGCGTTTCACGCGGCGCTGCTCCGGCGGCGGAGCCGGGCCCGCCACGCGCCCCGTCCGTGCCCGCAATCAGTTCGGTTACACAACACATGGATGAGTTGCCATGATCCTTGTAACTGCAATTTAGCGGAGACGAGACACTGATGAGTGCCTGGGCTTGCTCCTCATTAATCTTTCATGCTCTTGGAGCGCGGCGAGCTTCTCGTAGTACAAATCCTGCTCGACAAACAGGGAAACAAGAGTGGCGCGGGAAGCGGAGCCGTACGGAAGCTCCTGGCTGCCACGGAGTGGGATGCAGCATCGCTCCGGAGCCTAGATTCCAACCCGGAGGTGCTGCCCATAAGCGGGCATCACTCAGGGCTCCGGAGGACAAGGAGATTCCCACTTTCCTGACCGGGCAGGATGATGCTGGGGAGCTCGGCTGCTCCAGGAGGATCTCCAGRTTTGCCCAGGGGTGGTTGCATTGAAGATGCCAAGAAGAGTCCCAAGCAATGGAAAAGCAGCAGAGGGACCCTGAGCAGGGGCCGCCCGGGCAAGCGATGGAGAAGTCAGCATGAATTGGGAGCAGGATGGGTGCTGCTCTGGGAAGGGTGGCGCGAGGCTGGAATGCAGCACTAGGGACCCGTGGAGATGGAGTGTYCACCCAAACTGGCCCCAAAACACCCCTTGCACCGAGCAGCATCAAGGAGGAGCAGGTRGAAAGGAAGGGACAAAACGCAGGAAAATCCTAAGCAAGATGAGACACAGGGAGCTGCTGAGAGGAGAGACGGACGCTGGGAGAGGTAGAGGAGAACCCGGAGGAAGCGGAATTCCTCCTCAGTCCCGGGGGAAGCAGCGCCGCTCCCTGCAGCGYAGGAGCATCTCTGGAAGCAGATGGCAGCGGGGAAAGCCCTGCAGCTCAACCGCACTGCCCTGCATCCCCGTGACGGCTCCACSGGCAGCGGCGACGGCCTGGGAGCCCCGCGGGCAAGCGGGCCAGGACGCTGCAAACCTGCACGCGCATCCCGATGGGACACCCTGGTGCATTCCATGCATGCACCAGGCCCTGAGCACCGGGAAGCGCTGGCTTGCMGCGAGCGGGCAGTGCAGCAGCGGCAGCCGCCCCGGTGTCAACCTTGGGGTGTCATTGCAGCGCGCGCGGCCCCGCGCATCCCGCGGCGCTCGCAGGCTCCTTCCCCGGGCATTGCCCCTCCACGTGCCACCCCCTGCCAGTGGCACCAATTAAGATACTCATTTAGATAGGCGCTGCAACGGAGCCGTGCAAAGGGATGGACGCCGAGGGAAAACGGTTGAGGCGAAACCAAGCTCTGCAAAACGCAGGGATAAGCCGGGAGCGCCCAGGGAAAGCGGAGAGGCTCCCGGCGCCAGGCAGGAGCTGCCGCWTGTGCTGCCAGCTGCACCCGAATGCCACTTCTTGGGCTGCTCCTCCTCCTCCTCCAGGTCCTTTCTTTTCTATGTGATCCCATGGAAAAACAAGGCCTGGGGCCACCGGCCGCCGGAGCTGCCTCCGGGCTCCTGCAGCTCCCGGGATGCAGCTCCAAAGAAGGCACTGCTCGGAGCAGCAGGCATCCCGGGAACRCTGGCATCAGCTCAGGACACAGCAGAGGTCCCTGAGGAATGGATCCCACGTTTTTCCTGGGATGTCCTTGCAGGAGGATGCAGCAGCGCAGCGGGAAAGGCCGCAGCAGTTGCTTACACTGACTTTTAGGTGGTCAAAATGAGGAATAGGAAGGTGCCAAACTGCCAGCCGCGGTGCAGGGAGGCGGCAGCGGGAAGTGGCTCCCGCTGGAAGGCCGCTCCAGCTCTGCCGTTGCTAGGGAGGAGCGTGCAGGCTGCTCCGGTGCATTCCCGGGAGACACATTCCCGGGAGATGCTGCCTCTGCCCGCGCCGGGGCCGCCCCGGCCGCGGCTGCATGCGGCAGTGGATGCCACGGATGCAGCGGATGCTGCCGCTTGCAGCCGCGGCCCCGGCGCGGGCAGAGCCCTCACAAGTGACCTGGGAGGGGATGTTTCATTAATTGCATCCACCAATAATTAAGAAATCACACAAATAGAGCTGGAGATTAAAGAGAACAAGCGGGAGGACCTAAGAAGGGAGAAATTCCCGAGCCTGGTAGGCAGGGAGCCAGGCAGGGGCTTCCACCTGGGAGCACCAGGAGGAGGTTGCCCTGGATGGACTGGGACCCACAGGAAGAGCAGGATCCCAGGGCAGGATCTCAAGCTTTTTGCACCGGCGGCATAGCATGGCACGGGGAAACCTTTCCGTGATGTCCTAGGAGTGCACGGCCACCAGTCAAGCACTTTGCAGAGCAAGAGGAGCGCATGGAGCTGCCTCAAGCCACAGCTCCCACCCGCCCGCTCTCCATTACGGAAGCGGCGCGAGGAACAGCCCAATCCAGGCAGTTATTCCCATTTTCCCAGGTATAAAATCAGACAGAAGCTCCCAAACTGCGGTTTGCACCGCATGCTGTGCCCATCATGCCAGGTGCCGCTGCAGGCGCATGGGGAGCCCAGCGCTGGTGCAATGCACGCAGCACCCAGTGCATGAGGGGCAGAGCAGCGCGGGCAACGTCTGCATGTGGCAACGAGTCCCTGGAGCCCCACACACAGGGAGCCCTGCCCGGAGCACCCATCTCCATACACAGGGAGCATCCCGGGGCCCTGCACATCCGCAGGCAGCGGTGGGGAGCTCCGGTCGTGGCGCGGCGCCTACCTGCGCGCTGTCGCCCTCGAGCCGCGGCGGGCGGATGCTCGACAGGTGGATGGTCTTGTGGTCGCCCGAGTTCAGCTTGACCACGATGGCGTCGGCGTTGAGCACCTGCATCACCTGCGGGGAGAGCGCGGGTGAGCGGCGCCCGCCAGCCGCGCGGGTCCCGGGCACCCCTTTGCACCAGCTGAGAGGTGATGGAAGGGTTGGTGCTCAGCTGGGTGGCACCTCTTTGTCCCACATTCCCACACGTTGGGACACCCCTGAGCACCTAGCCCCATGGGGCCTCATCTCCCCAAAGGCTCCCACTGCAGAAACAAGCACACGGGTGACTCGGTGCCGGGAGGGGAGACGGGCTGGAGCTGCTACCGGGTCCCACGTCTCTGTTGGGGTCTCTGCGTGCACCTGGGGTGCACAGGAGAGAGCAGGGGGTAACGCAGGGCTGGGGAGGCTGCAGGCAGCTCAAAGCCAGAGCAGTGCCCGGCAGGTCTGCGCTGCRAAGCGCTCCCAAGCAGCCCAGCAGCCAGGCACAGAGCTGCCCGTGCCCAGGCATCGCTGTCCCCCTGGGCACCCCGAGCAGCCCCGTGCCTGCCCCGAGCACCCCCGGTGCCGCGCAAAGGGAGGAAGGACTTTCATAACTYGCAGCCCTTCGTGCCCGGCGAGCACATCCGTCCCTGCAAACGTGCTTAGTCAAAGGGATAACCGGATTACAGGAATTAAAATCAAAGCAGACACCAAGGACGGCGCGGGCTCCTCGGAGCACAGCGAGCCCCTGCGGGCGCCTCGGAGCCCCGGCTCCCGCGGGATGCGGCGCCTCGCGGCACCGCGGCCCTCGCAACGCGGTAATCGAATCTCATGCTCGAGGGCATCGGTGCCGCCGCGGGGTCGGGCGCTCCCGCGAGCCGCGGATGCTGCAGAGAAGGAATCAAATATCAAAGGGAAGAAGAACACGTCTCATCCCCAAACAGCGTCTCCGTTTCGCTCGAGCAGGTCCCCGTGGATAGCGAGGGATGGAACACGCCGGGGTGCAAAGGGTGCCCGTCACCGGCCCCCGTGCCGCGCGCTCCGGCTGAGCTGCTGCCATCAGAGCCACCTCCTGCCCCGGATCCCGTGTCCCCGAGYGCGAGGCCAAGGGGACGTCGCGGCCCCGTGCAGGCTGGCGAGGCCCTGCGGAAAGGCGCCGCGCAAACAGCTTTTGGCACGGGGTAGCTTTAAGTGTAATGTATTCAGCTGSGAGCAACGCTGCCCCGATTCCCGGGTGCTCTAAGACAAGCTGACATCGGGAATTCGGAAGAAAGTCTCCAGTCTCTTCAAATTTTTATTCCGCTGCTTTTCTGCTTGCCACTTGCTCCACCACTTGCAGGCATCAAATCCGCGATTGAGGCCAAGACTTCCTCCTCCTCCTCCTCCTCCTCCTCCCGCCCCCCTCCCTCCGCCAGCCGCTTTTGTCTCCACGCGGGCAGCTCGGCACCGCAGCAGCAGCAGCCAAAATTAGCCAGAGCCAAGGCGCTCCCGCACGGCGCAAAGGCAGGGTGGGATCCTCCTCCTCCTCCTCCTCCTCCCGGCTCGCGCATCCCTGCGGCACAGCCCAAACCAGGCCCTGCAGCTGCGGGCACAGGGCTGGCACAGCCCCGGCGCGATGCCAGGGATCCCGGCGCGCTCTGAGCCCTGGGGTCCCCCTGGCCCTTCCGTGCGGCAGGGAGACCCCCATCCTTCCCAGTGTGAATTTTCCCATGAGAAAACYGGAGGCTGGAGCTGCCCCTTGGCTCTCCAGCTGCTGCTGCCCTCGCTCGCCCTTGGTGGGGCAATGCCAGACCCCGGGCACYTTGCACCCAAGCCGCTCGCCACGTGGATGGGCATCTCCCCAGCACCAGRAGCCTCCGCCTGCCCGCTCTGCCCGTGCAGATAACTGCACTGTGCCACTGTGGGCACCGGCCCCACGGCGCAGGACGGGCTCTTCCCGCCAGCAGGGGCCGGCCCCACKGGTGCCCTGTGGGCTCGTGCCGGCCAGGGCGGCTTTCCAAGAAAGGCAGCGCTGCATCCCTGCATCCCGCCGCAGCAGCGAGCCGGCAGCACCATCTAGCGGGACCACGGCTCCGAAGGTGGCACGCGCCACTCCCGGCCAGACTTGCGCTCCAGCACGCACCCTGCTCACCACCGAGGTCCCTCCGGCCGGGAAACGCCGTGGGATGCAGCCTGCATCCCACCCTGCATCCTACCCTGCATCCCGCCCTGCGTGTTCACCCCATCCCCTGGACACCACCCCAGGGCTGCGGTGACACCAGCCTGCGGCAAAGCCACCCTGGAGATGTGCCCAGGGGCGCGGGCAGCCCAGAGATGGGCAGAGAGGAACCTCAGGAGGTTCCACCAGGACAGGGCAGGGTCCTGTCCCGGGGAGCAATAACCCCCAGCGCCAGGACGGGCTGGGGAACCAGCAGGGAGCAGCTCTGCAGAAGGATCTGCGGTGCTGAGGGACAGGAACACAGGCCAGGAATGTGCCCCCAAAGGCCAACAGCACCCCAGGCCACAGCTGCCACACTGGGTCCAGCTGCGGGTGGCCCAAGGCACGAGGGACGTGGAGCTGCTGGTGCCCAGCAAAGGCCACAGAGATGAAGGGATAGGAACAGCTCTGATGTGAGGAGAGGCGGAGAGAGCTGGGACCACGGAGCTGCAGAAAAGAAGGCTCAGGAGGGACCTCATCCACCCTCGTGAATACGTGAAGATAAAGAARATGGGGCCGGACTCTCCCAGTGGTGCCCAGCGACAGGACGAGAGTCAATGGCCATGAACTGAAACACGGGAAACTCCACCTGAACATCCAACATCTCCCCACTGTGAGGGTGGGCACCCCCCCAACCCAGATGGGGTGCATGAAGGGGTGCGGGAGTCTCCATCTGTGGAGATGCTGGATACCCAACTGGACAAGGGCCTGGACAACCCACCATGGGGGACCCTGGGGATCTCCAGAGGTCCCACCAATTATTTGTTGACTCCGCTTCAGCCCCACATATGTGGGGCAGGCAATGATGCTGTATGAGGAAAAGCTCAGGTCTGGATAGCCCAAGACCTCTCTCCATCGGGACGGAGACTGTGCTTCCCTGGTGGGATTCCTGGCTCTGGCGTGCCAGGGAAGGGGTGCGCGATGCCACCTCGTTGGCATGTGGCGCAAGGCTACATGCACCACCTCTACAACACGGCTCACAGGGAAGGGACGTCTCGCAGCGGGATCCCGGCGGAATTCCCAGCCACACGTGGAAGCGCCAAGGGCAGCACCAACCTCGTGGGCCCCTGTCCCTGCCCGCCAGACCCTACCTTGGCTACGAACTGCTTGTCCTTCTGGTCCAGGTTCGCCGTGGGGGCCACGTAGTCCCTCCAGATCCTCAGCTTGCGCTCCTTGGCGTACCTGGTGAGAGGCACACGTCTGTGACGCCCRGTGCTGGTGTCCCCAGGAGAGCAGATGGGGCACACAGCGCCCAGGTTGTCACAGGGTGACCTCAGCCCTTGGTGGCACCTGCAAGCGAGCGGGCTCACCCCACAGCAAGGCCAGGTGAGCACAGCCCCAAGCCAAAGCCTGCCCCACAGCCCAGGGCATCCATCCCGGGTGGCTGCCACCACCGACACGAGGACAAGCCCCTTGGGGCCAGTCCTGATGTAGGTGGTGCAGGTCCCATCACAAGGACGTGCACCTCGCACCCACCAGACCCCAGCCCGGGCCTGAGGCTTGCACTGCGACCAGGGACATCAGCCTGGTGAGCCATGCAAATCCCCGGAGCCTCCCGTGCCCAGGCAGCRGGGAGAGCAGGGCCCGAGGAGCAGCGCAGCAAGAGCGCAGCGGTGCCCGTGCAGCGGCGGCAGACCCCGAGGAGGGCCCGTGCCCGGCTCCGGTGCCCATGCGCAGTGCCAGTGCCCGTGCCCAGCGCCAGTGCCTGTGTCCAACTCTGGTGCCCGTGCCCAGCTCCCATTCCCAGCACCCGTGCCCAGCTCCAGCAGCCAGCGCTGGTGTCCATGCCTGGCTTCGGTGCCCATGCGCAGTGCCAGTGCCTGTGCCCAGCACCAGTGCCTGTGTCCAACTCCAATGCCCATGCCCGGCTCCAGCACCCAGCACCCAGCTCCGGCGCCCGCGCCCAGCCCTGGCGCCCGCGCCCAGCACCCGTGCCCAGCTCCGGCGCCCATGTCCAGTTCCAGGGCCCAGCTCCGGTGTCCATGCGCAGTGCCGATGCCTGTGCCCAGCACCAGTGCCTGTGCCTAGCTCCGGCACCCATGCCCAACACCCATGCCCAGCACTGGTGCCCGTGCCCAGTGCCTGTCTGCAGTTCCGGCACCCATGCCCAGCTCCTGTGCCCAGGTCTGACACCCGTGCCCAGCTCCAGCACCCAGCTCCAGCACCCATGCCCAGTGCCCGTGCCCAGCTCCAGCGCCGGGCTCCTCCCAGCCTCACCGCTCGGCGGCGCGCAGCTTGTCGGCGCCGCGGGTGTACACGGCGATGGACCAGTCCACGCAGCGGGCAAAGCCCTCCTTCAGCAGCAGCTCCGTGATGTTCCCGTTCTGCAGACAAGGGCACGTGGCGTCAGCCCTTGCACCCACTCCCCTACACATCACAGTCCGAACTGGGGGCTTCCTTCGCCCATCTTGGGGTGCTCTCTGATCCGTAGCCATGGGGAAGAAGCCCCCAAGCTCCCACACCTCCTAGCTCAGAGCCCACAGGTCTTTCTGCACCCACTGCCTGGGAAGAGCCTGCAGCACCCACTGCTCCGAGCTGTGCTAGAGCAGAGGACACACAGGGAGACTGGTCTTTAGTCCCGCTGCAATTCCCCGTCGGAGGCAACTTAACCTTGCAGCAACCACTAGCAMCTCGGGCAAAGGAACAGCAGCAGTGCTGTGCCCGCAGGGAGCRTGTCCCGTGTCCCATGTGCCATGTCCCCTGTCCCAGCCCTGGCCGGCAGCGGCCCCACTTGCCGGGTGCAGGATGGTGCCCAGGATGTTCTGGTTGTGGCAGCTCTCCAGGACGATCTGCACATCCCTCTGCAGCAGCCGGGACTCCGTGTAGAACTTGGCTTCCGCCGCAAACGGCTCGGGCACCTCGGTGGCGTCCGCCTCCCGCTTGAACGTGGGGCACTGCGGAAGCGGGCACAGTCAAGAGGGGCGCGAGGGGAGGGCATGGGGCTGCCTGCCCCCTACAACCTCAGCACGGGCGCTGCAAACCTCGCTTGTCCTGCAAGGCGATTGCAAGCGCCACGGTACGGAGCACAGCGTGCTAGGACTGGCCCAAAGCTGCCCAGGCCAGGGGCTGCAGAGACCCTTCCCCACGCTCAGCTTGGCCTGTGCATCTTGGAGACACGGGGCAAGAACCAGACGGCCGAGAGGAGCAGCTCTGCCCTCTGCTCTGCTTGTGCCTTGCGCTGCCTATCGAGCACTGGGGCAGGGCCAGGGCAGTGCCAGCAGTGGGAAGGACACTGGAGGGACACCCGCATCTCTGAGGACACCCCTCCAGGAGCTTTCTTATATGCTGGCTTTGTGGGAAGAGCGAGGAAGTGCCACGAACCCCAAACTTGGGTGCCCTCAGGGCRTGGGAAGAGGAGGAGGAGGAATGCGGCTCCTTGGTCCTCTTGTGCTCAGGCTGCATCCTGAGGRGAGGAGMGCAAGGGCACTTGTGCTCCAGTGATCCCTGTGCCACCCATGCTGCAAATCCTGCTGGGAGCAATCCCACGTACAGAGTCAAACTGGCTCCCAGCACAACCCTCCTGGGGGGCACTCGTGCAGTGTGCATGGGCAAAGCAAACCCTCTCTTGGCGTGCAGCAGAGGGGACTGTGACAGCAAGCAGCAGCACGGCCACCTGGGTGCCAGCAAGCCCTCAGCCACCCCAGTGCCACCTCCCCGCTGAGCCAGGGGCTTTGGCCCACACAGCCTGTAAGGGGGAACGTGATGCAAAGCAGAAGAGCCCCAGATGCCAGCGGGCCTGGGTACATCAACCAACGCTCACCTTGATGCCCGAGAGCATGACAGTGACCAGGTAGTAATCTGGGAGGAGGAGGGCTCTCACCACGCTGCCATCCCGGACATGCTCGATGATGGCTGCAGGACAGAATCACAGACACAGGGCTCACCGYGAGCCACAGCGGCGACGCCGACCTCCTCCTCCTCCCACAGACGCTCAGCGCCGAGCCGGTCGGGAGCGTTTGCAAGAGGAGGATGAGATCGGTAATGGTTTGCACCATTGCAAAGGTGAGTCAGGGGATTTGCATCATTGCAACGGCGAGTCAGGGGGGTTGCACCACTGCAATGGCAAATCAGGGGGGTTGCACCACTGCAACAGCAAATTGGGGGGTTTGCACCATTGCAAAGATGAGTTGAAGGATTTGCACCATTGCAATGGTGACTCGGGGCAGGGGTGCACCGTTGCAAAGGCGAGTCGGGGGGGTTGCACATTGCAAAGGCGAGTTGGGGGATTTACACCACTGCAAAGTCGAGTCTGGGGCCTTGCACCGTTGCAAAAGCGAGCTGGGGGATTTSCACCGTTGCAAAGGCGAGTCGGGGGGGTTGCACCACTTGGGCATTGGTCCCAGCTTGGCAGGTTTTGCCCAAGCAGCCCCGTGCTCTGCAACCCACCCACTGTGGCCCTGGGCACCCTGACCACCAGACTGCAGGAGAATGAGTGCAGAAGCACTGCTGACCAGCAGAAAGGCTCATCAAGAAAGCAGGCAGACAGCGTGACACTCACCATTGACCGGCTTCTGGTGCATGGAGTCCACAAAGTGGCGAGGGTTTTCGATGGTGTACTTGAGGTCCCGGATGGTGTGCGAGCCCGTGCCCTCGCTCCACATGCCCTTCTTGGCGGATTTCGCCTGCTCCTCCAGCTCCGCCAGCCTGTTCTGCTCGGGACTGCAAAGGAAGAACAGAGATGAGATTAACCCGTGCGGGCGTCGGGGTGCTGGAGCTGGGACCTGGGGACACACAGGAAGGACAGCGCGTGCTCCTGCACTCCTTGGCATTGGGAACAACAGCCACAAGTCACATCCTTAGACCTAGACCACCCCAGCCTGGATGGGACCCTGGGCGAGAGGGTTTGTGCTGCAGGCAGCGCAGAGCCCCGGCCACCCCCTGAGCCTGCCCAAGAGCACCCCACGTCCACCTGCCAAGGCTGAACGCAGCAGCACCCAGCGCCCTAYCGAGGAGGCAGCCAAACCCCTGACCGTGGAAGATGCTGCCAAGCACTGTCATAACCCATTATTTAAATAGCCATTAAATAAATGGGGCTTTTTTTCCAGCTTTCTCGAGCCCAGCTCAGGGCAAAGCTGCAGTCTGCTGAACGCTGAGGTCCCTGCAGTCACCCGCCACGCGCGTGGCTCAGCGTGTCCCATCACATCTCCATATCTCGCTTCCCTGTGGCACAAGGCCAGACCAGAAGGGCCAGGCACAGGGCGTAGGGACGAGCTTCACCTCTTAGGTGGAAGGAGCCCACGGAGGCTGCAAGCAAGGGGTGCTCCGCGTTCTCCAGCTGACTTCCCTGTGCAACCCTCCTCGATGGGGACGAGCCGCCAAGCAGAGCGCGAGCTGCTGCTCGAGCAGATGTCCCCGCGCTGTCCGGAGCGGGGCCAGGGTGACAGGCCGACACGGCCAACCTCGGTTTTGCGGGGAAAGCAGGGACAAAGCAGAGCGCCGGGTAGTCRCGCTCTCAGCTCCTCACATAGGACCAGAGCCCTCCCTGAGGTGGCTGAGAATCACACAACGTTCAAGGTTGGAAGGGACCTCTGGAGATCATCTAGTCCAACCTTCCTGCTCCAGCAGGCACACCCAGAGCACGGGGCACAGGGCGGCATCCAGGCGGGTTTTGGAGACCTCCAGGGAAGGAGACCTCCCTGGGCAGCCTGTTCCACTGCTCTGTCACCCTCACAGTCAAGAAGTTCCTCCTGCCGTGGAGATGGAAGCTCCTGTGTTTCAACTTACACCCATTTCCCCTTGTCCTGTCACTGGCCACCAACGAGAAGAGCTTGGCCCCTTCCTCCCTACATTCTCCCTTCACGTACTTAAGAGCAGGTTTCATTCCAGGATCAAGTGGGGCAATTGCTCCAGACCCTGGTTTGATGGATGACTCAACCTCCATGGAGCATCCCAGCAGCACCGGCCTCCAATGGGCTGCCGAGAGCACCGCTCCGGTGCCAAGTCCAGACTGGCATGGGCACAGGTCACCTGCATCCTTACGGAGCAGGGTCCACCACATTCCACGAAGCCAGCAAAGCCGTGGGATCGCTGGGCACAAGGAGCTCAGCCCCATTAGGGCAAGAGGAGCCCCAGTCCCAAYCCTGCCTAGCAGAGCTGCCCCTCTCTGCAACCGAGTGATTCATGTTGCACGGTCTCAGAACCAAATCCAAAGCGCAGCCCCCCCCAGGTGGGGCTTGCAGGGCCTCTTGATGGTTCTTTGCAAGACCAGCAGGAAAAAGAGTGCCAGTTCATGAAAAAACATAAAGCTGGCTCATGAAAAAATATAAAGCCAGTTCATGAAAAAATATAAAGCCTAGCGAATGCAAGCCTGCAGGCAAACGAGCTCCATGCTGCCAAGTGCTCCTTCGTGATGGAGTGCCCCATGCAGTGCTAAAAGCTGCACTGCACTGAGCTAAACCCCCTGAATTTGCAGTGGCAGTGGGAGAGATGGCGCTGCGGTCCCATGCCACCCGTGCCCGGTGCAGCAACAAGTGCAACCCAGGCGTTTGGCTGGCACAAGCGTCGGGGCTGCTTGGCCACAAGCTGTGCAAGCAACCTGGTGGCAACRGCACCTGCAACCTGGGCAGCTCCGACTGGGCTCCCACTGTGGCCACAGCCTCAGCAGGGCCTGGATGGGCTGGATTGGGCTCCCCAAGGGGCTCTCGGSACAGCCCCGTTGGGGAGCCAAGGCCACAAGCCCACACAAATATCGTGCAGGGACAGGCACAGCTTGAGGCTGAACGGCAGCCCCGTGTGCCCTTGGCCACGTGCACAACGTACCTGTTCGCAGCCCGCGCTGCCGAGCGCCCTGCRTGGAGGGTGCCCAAGCTTTGGAGCATGGAGAGCGCCCAGGAAGGGCTTTGGGAAGCGGCACGGGCGAGCTTCCTGTGCACCCACACAGGGAGGGAACAGTGGCTGGTGGTTACAGGGCTGCCACAAAGGTGATCTGCACCCTGTAACAGCAGCCAAGCCCCGGGCAGCCTCCGGTACCAGGCAGCGAAGCCTCCAAGGCCTTTGATTCCCGATGGGATCCGGCTCCCAGGCCCAGCACCTCCACATGGCATCAAGGAGGAGCAGCAATTCCTGCAAGCCAGGCAGTGGTACCGGCACCGCCTGCCCTGCACAAGCTAAAACACCCCGACTCACACCAGGCTTTGCTCCCAGCGCTCCAAAACCCCAGAGCTTTGCAGCACCAGAGGCCCAAAACGAGCCCAGCACCAGCAGGGACCGGTGCAGATAAAAGCCGAGCCCCACGTCTCGCTTCCCAGTGCGGAGGCCTCATTGCTGGAGAGGCACCCAAGGCGCAGGGGAGGTGACGGCATACGTACTTATTGGCTCGGATTCCTTCGCGGCGGGAGGCCAGTCCTTCGGCCACGAGCGACTCGGCTATGTTCTCGCCGCTGGTGTCTGTGGAGAGAGGAGAGGGCGTGAAAGGCGCCGGCAGGAAGCCCACGGCACACACAGGAACCAGGACACGAGGCACCATGCGCCCAGAGCGCGAGCGCACCCAAAACGACCCTCCCGTGCTCCCTACGTGCCCATGCATCCGGGAGGACACACGATTGGCACCCCAAGGAGAAGCCAGCACCATCCCTACGTGCCCATGCAGCCGGGAGGACGCACGACTGGCACCCCAAGGAGAAGCTAGCGCCATCCCGGAGGCGGTTCCAGGCCGTGGTCCGTGCCCGCGCTCCTGCGCTGTGTCCTCTCCCTGCACCACGGGCAGCACCAACGTCAGGCGGCACCTGCAGCATCCCCCTCTCAATTGTACTTAAACCCTGACAAACGCCAGYAGGAAACGTTTTATGCTTCGTTTCTTGCTTCGGCAGCTGGGATTTAGCACCGAGGAAGACACCGAACCTGGAGACGCCCGTGCAGGCGGCGAGGCTGCAGATGAGTGAGACGGAGCGCGCCAGCGCCCAACAGCAAAGCGCCCTTCCAGATTTATCTGCCACGGGCGGTGAATCAAGTCCTGCCCACTGGTGATAAATGCAGAGACGTGTTGGGCTGCCCAACGGAGGAGGACGGCCACAGATCCCGAGCACAGTGGCCTTCCCAAGGGGCTGCGGGYAGGTCCAGCCGGCGCCGCGGAGAAGGCGCCGATGCAGGGATGGGGAAGGAGGTGAAGGGCGCAGGGACCAACAGAATCACAGAATATTCAAGKTTGGAAGGGACCTCTGGAGATCATCTAGGCCAACCTTCCTGCTCCAGGAGGCACACCCAAGAGCATGTGGCACAGGGTGGCATCCAGGYGGGTTTGGAGACCTCCAGAGAAGGAGACTCCACAACTTCCCTGGGCAGCCTGGGCCACTGCTCTGTCACCCTCACAGTGAAGAAGTTCCTCCTCACCTGGAGATGGAAGTGCCAGTGTTGCAGTTTGCACCCATTACCCCTTGTCCTGTCCCTGGCAGGACGCCCTGCTCCCCACGCGTGCAGCGGAGCCGAGCGGGCAGCCGTGCCGCGTGCAGCCTCCCGCGGGCACCTGCGCTCGGGGGGAACCGCTCCTCCTTGCAGGCAGCACCCTGTCCTCCCCCGGGAGCTAAACCAGCTGCAAAGGTGCTCTGGGAGCCGGAGGGAGGGGAGCAGCGGGTTGTCACCTTGCTCTCACTCTCAAAAATCCTGGCGCAGAAGCGCAGAGCCTGGCGGGGATGAAGAGACCCGAGCCATTCCAGGGAGTCACTGATGGGAATTATGGATATGCTCAGGCTCCGGCCCATGCATGATGCACCTAGGGGTGCTGGGGGACAGCAGGGGGTCCCCAAGGCAGCGGTGGCCCTGGTGGCCCCAGGGCCGCAGTCTCCGGCGCCGCGCGGGGAAGAGCGTCGGCAGCAGCCGCAGGGAGGGATCCGGCCCCTCTGCCCGGCCCTGGGGAGGCCCCGGCTGCAGCGCTGGGMACAGGGCTGGGAACGGGCACCCGGCATGGCCGCGGGAGCGGGGAAGGGCTGCGGGCACGAGGAGGGACGGAGCAGCTCTGCCCGCAGCAGCGGCTGCGGTGCTGCAGCAGAGGAGGCCGAGAGGGGATCCCAGCAATGTGTGCAAACACCTAAAGGGAATGGGAACAGCGGATGGGGACAGGCTCTCAGTGATTCCCAGTGACAGGACAAGAGTCCATCGGCATGAACAGAAACACCGRAAATTCCAGATGAACGCAAGAAAATTCCCCGTGAGCTCCATTGAACACGGACACAGGTAGCTCATGGGGCTGCAGAGTCTCCATCCTTGGAAATATTCACAACCCATTTGGACAAAATCCCTTGCAAACTGCTCGAGCTGTTTGGGATTGTGTTGGGGATTGTGAGAGCAAAAAAGACTCCCTGCCATAGAAGGGTTCGAAGTGACAGCGATGTCCCCAGCCCAAAGCAGCTGCTGGGACACAAGCTCCTGTAGGACGGGGGAAAGTGCAGAGGACACCAGGGATGCACATCTGGAGGCCAACAGCTGGAGCCACCTCAGGACACCCGGCTCAGCCCGTGGGTCCTCCTGAGGGGTCCCGTCAGCCCAGTCCGTTCCGCCTGCCCGGCTCCCAGCGGTTCCGCCTCTGCGTTCCCAGGTGCTGAATGCCGTGCGGGAACGGCCGGTTTCCCGGCTGCACCCACGGTGCTTATGGAGCTGCCACATTTCAGCCCCAAGGACAGTCCCCACGGCCACCAGCTTCCCCAGGGACCCCAGGCCAGGTCCAAGCTGGCACAGGAGCAGCTCCAGGGACACTCCTGCTTCGGAACAGGGAGACGGCTGCTGTCCGTGGGTGGGATGGCCGGGTCTGCCATCGGCTCCAGTGCCTCATTAAGGCCCACAAGTAAATGAATCCCTTCCGGGAGGCTTCGAGGAGCCGGAGATTTTCAACAGCAAAGGGAATTCCATGGGAGCTCGCTCCGCAGCGCGGCCCGGGCTCGCCCGGCACCGGGCGCGGGGAAGGGCAGCCCYGCGCTCCCGAGCGCGCCGCTCACCTTTGCCCAGGTACACCATGCCGTACTCGCGGCCCTGCGGCGTCTTGTACTCCACGGTGAAGCACACCTCCTTGCCGATGAGCTTCTTGCGCAGGAACTCGCGCGCGGGGAAGCCCCACGGCTGCGGGGAGAGAGGTTGGCATGAGCTGGCGGGCACGAGCGGCGCCCGCGGGCACGGGCACATCCCTCCGTGCGCCATTCCTCCCGTTACTCCAACCGGCTCCTGCACCAGGAGGCACTGGAGGAGGCTAAGGAGCTCGCGACGCGGTGACCCTATTGCTGCAGGAGGGAAATGCTGCTCTCCCCGTTCCCCTTGCGAGGGCTCTGGGTTGGATGCCGGGCTCCGGGTGGGATGCCGGGCTCCRGGCGCTCCTGTTGGCAGCTGGCATCACCCCAGGGATCCAGGATGGCACCCACCAGGCTGGGCAGCGGCAGGGAGACGAGCGGCTGCGCACAGGTTGCAGGAGGCTCCCGCAGCCTCCTCGCCGCTCCTCAGCTGCGGCCGCCCGACAGAAGGGCTGGCGCGAGCCTGGTGAGGCTTGGGGACACCCGTGAGCATGGGACGTGGCACCGTGCCACCCAGCTGCAGCAGAGCTGCATGCAAACCCATCCGAGCGCCCCGTGCCCCGGCCTCCGCCGTCAGCCCCGTGCCCAGCGCCGAGGCTCCGGTGGTGCTGGCCGCAGGCACCGAGGGATCTCCCGGGCTCCGGTCCCAGGCATGGGAAGCAGCCGGAGCCCTAATTGCACCCTAAGTGCCAGAGCATGACGGGACTCGGCCCCACATCCTGAGCCCCCCGGCAGCGGGATAAAGGACCCGGGAAGCCTTAAGCACSCTCCGATTAATGCTCCTCCATCTAAACGCAATTAGGTGCCCGCTCAGTGACACCGAGGACGCATCTCCTCCCTGGAGGCTGGAAATCAGTGAGGAAGATCCACTGGAGAGCTGCCTCCGGAGCACCGACGCCCTCGGACGCCTCCTCGCCGGTGCGGGACAGGCGGCAGCGGGTGCCGAAGGCGCCGCGGGGTGCCCGGCGGGAGCACCTACCTCGTCGGGGGTGTCCTTGGCGTCGGGCTGGCCGGCGGCCGCGCGGCGCGCCAGGTTCCCGGCGCGGATGTTGCTCAGGTTGATCTGGCGCTCGGGGGGCGGCCCCCCRCGCGGCTGCCCCCGCACGATGATGGCACAGCCCGAAAGCACCTGCGGGGAGGCAGAGAGCGTCACACGGGCACCCAAGGGACCCCGAGGGGCCAGGGGAGATTTGAGGTTGGAAGGGACCTSTAGGGACCACAGGAGCCTTAAGGCAGCGAGCTCCTTGGTGCCGTGTGGGTCCATGCAGGTGTCCCGCACCCCAGCGCCGGGCAGAGCCGCTCGCAGCTGCATCCACGGCAGCCCCCATGGCCAAATCCCAACGCCACCTGCCCGTGGCGCAGCTCGGAGCTCGCGGCGCTGCAGCCACAAGAACCTCCACCTGGAAGGGACACGGCCACCAAGCGCCCGGCCCTTCCTACAAAGCTGCTGCCCAGGGGCAGCGTCGGTGCAAGCGGTGCCCAAAGCGCGCGGGAGACGGGGATGTCTCTCCCAGTGCCAGCGGATGGGGACACAGCAGGAGCATCACCGCGCACAGCGGCCAGGCACGGGGCTCCTGGACGTTAGTGCACCCGTACTGCACCCGCCGGAGCTTTACAGCACGTGGAAAACACGAATTCCCAAAGCTGGGAGTTTTGGAAGCGTTCCCTGCCAATGCGTAGCACGGTGAAGTGCTGCCAGGACCAAAGTCCTGCAGCCGGGGCCACCACGGGCGGCGGAGCGGCGCAGAGCTGGCGCTATCTGCAAAGCAACCGCTCCAGGGTCAGGCAGATAAACCCGCGAGGGAGAAACCTGCCGGGAAAAGCTCCAGAAACAAGGACACCCAAGCCGGACACCTCGCGCCCGCCCAGGGTGCAGCGACCAGCACCATCCTGCCCGGAAAAACAAGGAGCTTTTCCAACTGCCTGGGTCTTGACCACAGCTGCCAGCCGCAATTCCCTCCGTGCTGAGCTGCCCGCTCCGTGGCCACCGCTGCTCCCATTCCATTGAAACAGCTCCGGTGCCGCACTCGGGATTCCAGCRCGTGCAGGAAGCCGCAGGGTTGAGGGTCTCCGTTCATTCCTATCCACCCCACTGCATCCAGGGGCCAAAGCTTTTGTGTCCATCGTGATAGCTGCTCGTTCCAGGGTGGAAGTTGCACTCGGAGGCGACTCCGTGCCTGGCACGGCATCCGTGGGATCACCTGCATCCTACAAGAGCGCAGCCGGAGGCTCCATCCGCTGCAGGAGCCGCTGCTCCGGCTGAGCTCCAAATCCAACCCGGGGTCGCAGCGCGCGGAGCAATCCCGCAGCAGCGCCCAAGGCTGAAGGTTTCCTTGTGCTAATTAACCCTGATCCTTAATTCAGGCGGCTTCGGAAACACGGCAGGTGCCGCTGACCGCTCCATCCCATCGCCACGAACCATCAGGAATGGTGGCATCCATCCCACGCCAAAGCTGCCGGCCGCTCCTGCTCCGACCCGGAGCAGGGAAAGCTGCCGCCAGCGGGCGCAGGGCGCCGGCGCCTCCGAGCTGTCCCATTCCCGGGGCAGGGAATGCGGCTCCATGTCCAGGAGGCTGCGCTGGGAACCGCACAGAGGATCGAGCGGCGTGCCCGGCTCCTCGGGGTAGCAGCAAAGCGGCCGGCAGCTTCGCGCGCGCCCGCGGCGCAGGAGGGAGCCGGGCGCTCCCGTGCAAGCACCACAGAGCCAAGGGGGTCCTTCTTCCACACGGGAACGCACCGGGCTCCTTGGATGCGTCCCTGGTGACACCCATTCACGGATCCTCATCCTCAAGAGCAGCTTTWAGGTTAAGGTTACCCACAAAAAGCCCCTTCCCGCAGCCAAGGGTGGCCTGGAACAGCTTCCCGTCTCCCGCTCGCAGCTGGAAGCGGCCGCGACGCCGGCCGGCTTTGCACCASTGCGAGTGGAGCAAGGAGCAAAGCKGGGCGTCACCGGGAGCACCGTGGGGACACCAGGGACATCCGGCACGTCCCGGGATAACCCTCTGTCCGCCAGGGTTCCTGGCCTTGGCATCCGCAGGGGTCTCCGTGCTCCGGCTCGGCTCCTTGTCCGCAGCCACGTCGCGGATCTGCGGGCTCGGCCGGACACGGGTTCCCTCGCGGGCCAAGCCCRAGGAGCGACGCTCCAGGCCGGCTCTCCCTTTTCCTCCCGCCAAAGCGGCGCGCCGGGGGGACGTGCTGCGCCCGGGACACCGTCACTCCCGGTAGCCGCAAAGCGGGTCCCCGAGCGGCACCGAGGACCGGGGGTGCCCGGACCCCTCCGACGGCTGCGGGAGCCGAATCCCCCCAGGAACCTGTTGCACCGCTCCCTCTGCAAGGGGATTCGCAGCCCGGACCGGGATTTACCGGTSAGTTCGGGCACGGGCATTTCCAACCGGGTGGAAATTCCCAGCGTGGGATGCGGCGGGGCCGGGCGCGGCCAGCACGGGCCCCTTCCCGCGGCAGCCTCCGGAGCGGCTCCGCACCGGGACGCGGAGCACCGGGATGGGTGCGGGGCGGCCCGGCGGCGGCTGCGCCCCG